TAAAATCCCAGCGTAGTCCCAGATGTACGATATTATGAATCTCCGACATCCTGGCAGCCGTAGCTAGCGCTAACAGGAACAAAGTTTTCTGGGTCAGTGATTCAAACGATGTAGATTCTAACGGTTCATAAGCCTCACTTGTGAGGTGTTGGAGCACTATATTTAGATCCCAAGCTGGAGCGTGAAACTTCCGCTTGTGATCCTCCAATCGGAACGCTCGTAGCAAAGCGAGTAACTCTGGGTTTTTTGTTAACTTGACGCCCGTTCTCATAGTTATGACAGAGCTTAATGCTGCAAGATAAGTGGACAAAGTTGAGCCTTTTAGATTCTTAGTTTGTCGTAGATAACATAAGTAGTCCGCCACTTGAGGATGAGTAGCATATCTGGCTGTAAATCCTTTCTTTGCAGCATAATTGACAAAACTGTGCCATTTGTCATCGTATAAGTTGCGAGTTGAGTTATGCAGTGCAAGCGTGACTGGTTTTGCCGCTCTGGCTGAATATCCTCTCTTATTCAGACATGCCTTGATACAATCCATATGTGAAGTTGGAATACTTCTGGTTTTCCGCACTTGTCTGGTGCGCGGATGTATCAATAGATTCGAGCGCCAGGAAGTTGTAGAATTGGTTGTCCGATTTCTTGAATAAGGTTTGAAACCACGCTCGCTGGCCAGTAGGGCTGACCAAAATCAGATGGAGGCTCTGGCGTTTGACTGATTTTCCGTGAAGACTTGTGGGATTAACGCTGTTGGTGGGAAAGCGTGACGCGCTGAGTCCCTCCCACGATATGCTTAGTGCGTCCGTTGCCCATGCTAGTGGGTCTGGAACTGGCGATACGAAGGTTGTCAGTTGTTTGTTGAATCGAGTGGCGAATAGGTCTACTAGTGGAGATCCTATTTCCATGATTATTTGAGTGAATATCTCTGTGTGGAGCATCCATTCTGTCGGCGACGGTAGGTGTGGCCGAGAGAGTGCGTCTGCTAATACATTCTTTGCTCCTGGAATGTGGCAAGCTCTGACATGTATGTTTAGATTGTCGATTAGATCGAATAATCGGAAACATAGGGACAGTAGGTTCGGTGTCCTTGTTGAGCCTTGTTTGTTCACATAAAATGCCACTGTCGAATTGTCTGTGTGAATCATCAACTGAGCATTCTGTAGTAAGTTGCTCCAGTGACTTATGGCGTTTATGACTGCTTGCATCTCTAGCAGGTTTGTGTGATATTTGCTCTCTTGATTGCTCCATAGGCCTGACGCTGTCTTGTAGGCGAGGTGGGCTCCCCAACCTTGTAGTGACGCTGCCTCACGAGATGTGCTTTCGATTCCGGCTCTAATAAGGAGACGCTTACGCAAACATTCAATCTCTTGGTCCACCAGAGTAGATGAGGTTTGACGTGATCTGGTAGACTGAACGGTAGAAGGTCCTCTAGATGCGTGTTGATGAGGATTTGTAACGGACGTAATTGAAGCCTGCCTCTGACTGTCAAGTCTTGAGCTGATGTGAGTAGTCCCAATAGGATCTGCCACTGTCGTAGTGGTAGCGGAGAGAGTAAGGCTTGTGGGATTAACTGTTGGATCTTGATCCATCTGTCCTCCGGGACTACTATACGATTCTGGGCTGTTAGAATTCGTATACCTAGAAATTGCAGATCTTGCGTTGGTTCTAGGTCCGACTTGAGTAGATTTACTAACCATCCTAGTTGAGCTAGTAACTTGATTATAAAGTTCAGCTGTAGTCTGAGAGGCTGTGGATCTGGATCCACTTGTATGCCGTCGTCTAGGTAAAATGCGCTGCGAAGACCTTGACGATGTAGGTATGAAACAATAGGCTTGGTCACTCTTGTGAATACCCAAGGGGCCGATGAGATTCCGAAGGGAAGTACTTTCCATTGGTAATGTTTCCCGTCTAGGATAAATCTTAGATATTTCCTTGAGTTGGGATGAATCGGAATGTGTAGATATGCGTCTTGCAAATCTATGCTGGCCATGTAATCTTTGGGACGAATTAAGTGCCGAAGTTGCGGTAAGTGTATCATGCAAAACGCTGGTGGTTTGCTTAGATATTCTTTGTTGAAGATGCTCATGTTGTATATGAGACGAAACTTTTCCCTGGAATTTTTCTGGGCACTAGGAAAACTGGGGAGTAGAAACCTGGTACGATGTTTCACTGATCCAGAACTTCTAAGGCCTGTTTGCTTAGCAGAGTAGCTACTGTTTCTCTTAACATAGGTAGTTGTGCCGGTTGAAAGTCGAACCTTGGAGGAGTGACTGTTAACGGAGGTGTGGCCTTGAGTTGTATTAGATATCCGTGCTGTAGGATATTGGATACATAGGGATCTTGTAGTATTCCCCAGTTTTCCCAGTGCAGCTGAAGGCATCCACCCACTTGAGAAGGTTGTACTGGAACGGCTGGGGGGTGGAAGACTCCAGTTGTTCCGAACCTGAATTTCATCGTCTAAATCCGCGGGAACCTCTGGATGATCTGCCTCTTGCCGATCCTCCTCTGAAATTGCTGTATGGGCAACGAAAAGATTCCCTGGGACCTTTTGCTGTAGCCAATTTCTTGTCCCGTGCTTTCTGTAGCCCAGAGAATTTAGACTTGCCAGAGTATCTCAAGGATGATTGCTTAATGAGGTTCGCTAAGGTATCCATGGACTTGATCATAAGCACCTCTCTCGAGTCCTTAGACACCTCTTTGGAGACCTTGTCTATGTTACCACCAAATAGTAAGGGCGATGACCATGGAGCAGCGTAGAGTGATTCCGTAAATTGATTATCCCAATTGCAGGAGGCTAGTAGACCCTGGCCATGAGCCATGGTAGTAGTTTCAGTAAGCGCTGACAAGTGATCTGTAAGGAACTGATGGTCTCTTTTCTGCATGAGTAGAGCCGAGTAGATCTTCCTCCTCTGTAGAATCCTTGAACTTGGTGATGAGAGTTTCATTGACAGTTCTAGATCTATTCAATCCCAAAAACATTCTCCTAGAAATGGTATCCAACTGGGCTAATTTGCGATCATCTATTCTGTCATTCCTGGACTTGGCATCACTGATTAACTTAAAGTTGTCATCAATCTCTTGGGCCTTGAAAAAGGAGTCCATATTGTGACCTGCAAATTTCTTGGCGTTGAAAACCGGGAAATGTGTTGATTGGAATTTCGTAGATTTGGTAAAGGCTGTATCCAGATTAACTGGGACCGCTGCTATCGGGTCAATAGGAGGTAAGGTGATAGTGTCCGCATCATCTTCCTTCATCAAATAAGTATGAGCTGAGTTCTCGTTCTTAGACGGGGGAAGCAAGTTCTAATCCATTCACCATCCAGTATCTAATTTCTGCATCTGAGAATACGATACCTTCTTCCTCTTCTGACGTAGGATCACATATAATAGAGTGAGGTGGAGTCCTAGATCTGTAAGAAGATCGACGAGAAGATTGTGGTGAACGGACTGACGAGTGGCTAGTATATGGAGACCTTGGAGGAGACTTCCTCGGTGAACGCTGGTGGCTTCGTGAAGCTCTAGATGAGTCCCTTCTAGATCTTCTGGGTGAAGATGACTTGGAGCCACTTAACCTTCGTGAAGGCCTTCGGGAAGGTATCGAGTCAGAGTCCGAATCATTATATGGGAGCCTGCTTCGCGAACGACCTCTGTGTTCTATAGGGTGTGAGCTCGGTGAAGCACTCCTCCTCCGTGAAGCCCTTCGCAACTGGTGAGGCTCTGGATCCTTCGTGGAGGCGGCCTGGGACGTTCTTCGCGAAGGCTTCGCTACGGGCTGGGTTGCCCTTCGTGGAGGCGCGTTTGTGGGCTCTAGGGCCCTACGCGAAGTCAAGGGGGGGGCTCTAGGGCCCTGTATGACTTATTATGGGTTGGGCTCTGGGGCCCGCGGCTCTGAGGCCCCTGTAAACCGTATCGGTCTTCCATCAATCTCATGATTTGGTTAACCAGGTCGTCTGGGACGGTCTGCGCTGGCGTTGAGGGTGTCCTCTCTGTGATAGTGACGGGACCCTCAGTTATAATCTCAGGCGACAGCGTAGGCATCTCTGGTTGCGTGTTGATCTGCGCTGAAGTGACGGTAGCCGATACTGGTCGCTTCTTATGATGTGCATCTGGAATGATAATCGGAATGTCATCATCATATAAACACAATTCTGAAACAGGTAGAATATCAGAAGCAAAGTTTTTAGTAGCCTTTGTGGATTTCCCTTTTGACGAAGCTGTAGACCTGGGGGTTCGGAGCGTACGTTGAGACGACGTGGAAGCTCTTCTAGTCTTAGACTGTGATGATGGAACGTCCTGGGGCGCTTATCCCCCGAAGGTAACTCAGGCGGAACACCAGACGGTAGAGGGTCGTCCGCCAACAGTTGACATGGTATTTCTGACTCCGATCTATTAGCTATGACTGAAGATTGTTTGCGAGATCTATCTGCCGCCCGTCTCAAGACGGAATATAAATATTTATCAAAGGCAGAATTAGACAAATTAATACATAATTTGCAGCGTGAAACAATAGAGCATGGAGTTATGCAACTAGGGCATATTAAATGCGGATCGGCAGCAGAGTAACGTAATTTACAAATCGTGCAGATTTTCATCAACGCAAACTGCTGAGCAAACACGGCGAACCGTGAATAAAGCAGCAGAAACACGAATAATTATCAATGCATGTTGAATAAGGATACTTCTTACACCTCTATAGATGAATATAAGAGGTACCAAACTAAATATAATTAAAGGATATAGTGTGTAGGGAGACACAGGCGCTCTCACGTCCAGCTCACTGGGCGAAGAAGGAGAGAGTGAGGCACATGGTGGGAGGTGGCGCCCTCGTTCCCGCGCTTGCGAGGAAAGGGATAACTCGTGGTGAGTACTAATTAGTGATTTTACATTGAAGGGAACTTCAATTGGGAGATACAAGTGTTCCACTATGTTCGCAAAGAAGAAGAAGACAAGCAGAAAAGCATGAGTCAGGATAAGGAAAAATATGATAAATTTGATATACTGACCTGAACAGCTGTGTCATCAGCCTTGCTGGACTGTGAGAGGACATTCACACAACGTGCAAATGCTTCTTGTAGCACCTTCAAAACAGAGAAAATATATGTCAGATAGAAATAGAGGCACAAATCTTTGTTGCAGTGTTATAGGTTACAATCAAATATATTTCATGTTTTCATTTGAAACTTCATAACTAACATGAAACATGCATTATATGGAGGGTTTGTAGTCTCTAACTGGCCAGGGGGTAAATGGCACACAAATTGTTCAAAGTGCTCACCCGCTGTTCATGTGAAATTCTTCCAATTATCAAACTTACTTTGTTTATTTAAGCATTGATAATGGCCGCAAAAGGATTTTTCATTATTCTTGATGTAGTTGCCACAATGAAAATAATATTCAACCCTCAGGAATAAAATAAGGTTTGATAATTGTTTGGAATAACCTATGAAGTGTCAACTTCACTGTGTCAATGTTTTCTCAGGAAAGGTGGTTATCAGAGATTTTATGCATTAAGAAAATAAGAGCATGGTAAACATGAAAACATGAAGTGGAATGTTTCAGCATCATTAGTTAGGTGAGGTAAAAAACTATAAATACCTGAATTCCATTTTCCCTCCTGAGCTCCTCAGCATTTAGTGCTGAACAATTGACTGTGTGGTATGCCAGCTCACTAGCTGCTGCTAGGAGTGGTGCCGACTTGGAAAACAACTGATCATCTGATGTCTCCATCTTGATTGTCTTGATGAGCATTGGGTAGCCAGCATACTTGTAAGGTTCAAGATCTGTGAAAAAAACACAATTTGGAGGATTATACTGATAAAGTCAGGTTATCTATCATTAGGATGGAATATGTAATATAATTCCAGGTGAGCTTGCAGACCATACTCACACCCATACATATTTCAAAGAGTGAAAAAAGCACACAAACACTGCAGCCTTTGAACTTGTTAAATTATGACTGACTTCGCTATATATTTGCAGTAATCTTAACTTAAATTCACAAGTACTGTAAATATAGAAATTAGTGCGGAAAAAAAATGAGTGAGTGAGTGAGTTTAGCTTTATGCTGCACTCAGCAATATTCCAGCTATATGCTGATGGTCTGTAAATAATCGAGTCTTGACCAGACAATCCAGTGATCAACATTATGAGCAATGACGTGCCAACCATGTCAGCAAGTCTGACCACCCGATCCTGTTAGTCACCTAATACGACAAGCATGGGTTCCTGAAGATCAATTCTAATCTGGATCTTCATGGGTCAATTTTTTTTTACACATTTATGACTCAGAAATGACTGCCTCCCAACAAATGCCCTCAGGTAAATGAGAATGTGATTACAAACTTGGTCAATATGAAAGTCAAATTTGTACTACAAGAGGACTGGACTGATTCACAATCTCAATTGAAATCTACAATTTAAAAAATGCTGTCCATTGTGATGTATACAGAAAATGTAATTTTTCAAGTAAAATTGATATTTTTAAAACTTATCCTGAATCATGATCTTTTGCTTATCTCCCTTTTCTTTTCGAATGGTAGTGGAAACACTTGAATCCCTTGAAGTTCCCGAAGCGGACGTAAAAATACACTCACCCAGGAGTTACCTCCCTTTTCCCACGTAAACAGTCATGTGACCAGCCTTACTTGTCACTCTCTCCTGATTTTTCTGCCCAAGCTCTTGGATCTGCTCTGCAATCCGAAGTGTTTCCAGCGGGGAGGTCGGGAGGGCTTGACCTCATGAGTCAGGATAAGTATAAAAATATCAATTTTATTTGAAAAATTACATATTTTTTATTATCCTGACTAATGATCTTTTGCTTGTAGAATCCGACGGATTGGTGGTGGGTCAGGTCACTTCCTGGATTCATCAGCTGTACCTTTAGATACGTGTAGTATCCCCCCCAATGGGAACTGCGTAGCGGCATTTCCGAGATCCTATTCTTCCAACTTCCGTTATAACTCGGGGGGACCACTTCTTGTCTTACTTCCATCTCAGACAAGTTGAATCATCTTGATTCATGTGGCTTCAGATAAACTAATATCTTCTTATTACTAGATATCTTATAACAACCCATAGATTATGATAAGATCTTTATCATAAATGAGTTGCGACCCCTTCACGTACAGGTAAGATCTTTACCAGTACAGGATCTTTAATCACTCATGCTAGCCTGTCCTAGCCTGCGCATGGACTTTCAAACTAATACTTTTCTTTAGTAAAAGTTATCAACAAGTCAACGTGATAAAGGGTGAGATTTTCAAACTCAGCGCCTTTGTGGAGCCGTTAGTAGCTGTGCTACAACGAGAGGCCCAAATTGGTGAATGCCTGAGACGTCTTCAGTGGCTATGTCTCGGAGGTAATGGTTGGCAAACACCGTGTCCGACTTCCAAAAGCAGCCCTCCATAATTGCAGATATAGAGCAATTTCCATGCAGAGCTAGTGTTGACGCCAATGCTCTGACTTCGTGTGGGTTGGACGCTCTTGGAGGTTCTAGTCCTGCTGCTTTATAGGCTCTCAATATGACGGCTCTCATCCAGAACGATATCGTCGTTCTTGAGACTTCTGCTGATGTCTCTGTGGATAATGGGATGAATAGGCGCTTGAATTTTCGTCTCGTCTTAGTCTTTGAAGATATATCTTCAGGGCTCTGACTGGACACAAGGACAGGTCCTCTATATCCTCTGGTCCGAGGATTGTAGATAGCGTTGGTACGTAGAACTGTCTATCTGGCTGATCAGGTAGTTGGTTCTTGGCAATAAAGTCTCATCTAAGTCCTAGATGAACTGCAGCATGTTGCCCCGTGTCGAATCTGGTTTGACCAAAGTCCAGCGCATGTATCTCCGATATTAGAGCTGCCGTGGCTAGCGTAAGCAGGAACAGAGTCTTCTATGTCAGCAGCTCGAAGGTAGTCTGATCTAGAGGTTCGTAGGCATCACTTGTAAGATGACGTAGAATTACATTCAGATCCCAGGCCAGAGCTCTGAACTTCTTTTGCTGGTCCTCCAGTTTAAAAGATCTCAGCAGAGCAAGTAATTCTGGTACACTTGTCAACTTGATGCCTGTTTTCATGGTAATCACTGTACTAATGGCAGCGAGGTATGTAGATAATGTTGAACCTTTCAGATGTCTGGTCTGTCTAAGATGACACAGGTATTCTGCCACTTGAGGATGAGTAGCTTTCATCCCAATGAAGCCTTTCCGCCTTGCATAAGTCTCAAACTTCAGCCACTTGTCATCATACATGTAACGAGTAGATCTGCGTAAGGCTAGCGTTACTGCCTTGGCTGCCCTGGCGGAGTATCCTCTTTTCTTCAAACATGTTTTGATACGGTCCACACGTGTAGCTGGAACAGTGTTGGGTTCCTGTGGACTTGCTTTGTGTGCGGATGTATGAGTAGGTTCGGCCAATCTGGTAACTTGATTGTTGGACTTCCGAGATCTTCTATTAGGTCTAGGAACCATACTCTCGCTGGCCAGTATGTCGCGACCAAGGTCAGTTGTAGCACCTGTGTCTGTTTGATCTTCAACAGTTCTTTCGGTAGTAATATCAGTGGTGGAAACGCATAAGCGTTTAGTCCTTCCCATGATATGTTCAGTGCATCTGTTGCCCAGGCTCGAGGATCTGGAACTGGTGAGACAAACGTCTGTAGTTGTTTGTTGAACCTCGTGGCAAACAGGTCTATGCATGGGGATCAGATTTCCCTTATGATGAGCCGAAAGGCTTCTGGATGGAGTATCCATTCTGTAGGTGATGGGTGCAGTGGTCGGGAGAGAGCGTCTGCAAGCACGTTCTTGGCTCCGGGTATCTGACACGCCTTTATCCAGATGTTTGCCTCCTCCATGATGTCAAACAACTGGAATGTGAGCTGTAGTAGGCTTGGTGATCTTGTAGATCCTTGCCGATTTATGGAGAATGCCATTGTAGAGTTGTCCATGTTGACCATCAGCATTCTGTTGATCAGCGAGCTTGACCATAGTTGTAAAGCGTTGATCACAGCTTTCATCTCCAGCAGATTGATGTGAAAATGCTGCTCCGTTTGGACCATTTCCTTGATGCAACTTGATTGTTGAGATGTGCACCCCAACCTTGTATCGATGCGTGCGTCTACGTAGTGATGTGTGTCAAAGGCCAGCTCTTGTAAATAGGTCCCTCCACCGACGTTCGACCTTTGGGTCCACCAAAGTAGGTACCTCTTAAAGATCACATATACTCTAGGGGGGTACAAATACATATATCACTAACTGGCATCGCTATAAATGAAACCCCGTCATTAAAAGTACTTACTTCGGTCTTTAATTAACTTAAATTGACCTTTTTGACAACAGTGCACTATTCTCACCCGCGAACGAAATTTCAACCAATCAGAGCGGGGCGTCTCTGTGACGTCATATGAGGAACAGATATGAGGGCCAATGCAGAATTCATCTACATTTCAGGGGGTAAATTATAAACCTCAAATTGTGACAACTGTTGTGGAAAATGAAAGCTATATGTTCTCACAATCTACTGTCATTTAATTTTGTCTCCTGCTTTGCCTAGTTTCTGAGTTACAACCTTGTTTTCATAGACGATTCTGTCAAAATCGCTTGGTGTCGTTAGGCCTTATTTGTATAATGACTGATCCAAATTGATCCCATTTCTGTGTACTTTTACCTCGATATTTAATCATGTCTAGTAAAAATCTGTTTGTATTCTCAAAACAGTGTTGGCTCATAAGTTTTCACATGCAATACAGCAATTAATACTCCCTTGTTGTAACCCGTGTTAGGTGGTATAAACCTACACGTTATTTGTCATCATTCACTTGATGGTTAGTTAATGAATTTATAACAGGTATAATTAGTGGTAACACACTTAGATTACCCGACAAAGGTTCTCCTTTGGCATTTCTTGTGTCTGGAGTAAATATTCAACATTATAAACATCGATCAAAGGATTAACCGATAACACGCTGATTGATTGATTACTTACTTTTATCTTACACAGCGGATTTGTCAAAAGGTAGTGTTTATGTATGTAGATTTACTAATCTATACTGAATACACTCTGTCGTGTCGGTGTCTGCGTAAAAACAACGTCCTTCTTTCAAAGGATTAACCGGCAATACATTGATTGATTGCCCATTATTGGCTCACTAAATAACTGTTTTTAAAGAAATGCGGACATTATGTAATTAGTTGCCAGGTGTGCTATCTTGGTTGACCAATGAGACTATACACCAATGTGAAATACCTGAAAAGATTTATCACTTTTTCGTATATTAAACTGTTAAAAGACACATCACTTGGAACAGCTGCAGATGAATGGCATATCACTCATTTTTGTGGATATCGATGGATACATTCCTCGAACAAGGTAATAGCCTGACATTGTTCCTATAACTTTAATCTGTTTTAATTTTAATATTTGCATTTTGTTTTTATTCATTTGTCGTAGCATTCAACAGAATCATTGTTTTCGCCGTGAAGTGTAATGAGACAGACAACATACACTAGGGTGTGTGTGCGAATTATGATTCACATTGGAAAACTATAAAATGTCTAGATATTACAGTTCTGTTATAAATTCACTATAAGTATCAGCAGATCGTCTGCTTTTTATTTAGTTTCAAAATGCATACAAGTATGATAATAAACTAATTAGGATTATAAGACCAAATATAAAGACGCATTATTGACTAGTATCTACATACTGGTGAGTGGACATTAACCATGTGAATGTAGCAAGAAATTTATCGCAAGCAGTATTGTCACTTTGACCCCCACCTCGCTTCCGTGG